ACGCTAACTGAATTGTCTCCCTCACAGACTCCAGTGAACCAATCCCCAGGCCTGAACCAGCAAATTGTACATTTACTACATGCTTGTGTAACAATAAACTTGTTAACTTTTCCCCTGAGTCCGTTGTGTTCTGCATCTTGGGCCTCTCAGTAAACCCATCATGACAGATTCATCCAAAAGCCTAGTTACTACGCTATTGCATAAGAAAATTAATGCCTTAGTGACAGAACTTGCTATTCTAGATTTGTAGAGAGATTTCTACCCATCCAGCCTTGACTATACTTTTTATTCACACCCACATGATGTTTATTCCAGGATAGATTACCTTTTTTATATTGAAGAGAGACTGCCATCAAATTCATGGCTGTGATATTAGAAGCATTGATCTATCGGATCATGCCCCCCCTCTCCTGCACTGTAGATATTATTGATAACCCAGGTAGAACTTTATGGAAGTTAAATACAGGTATTTTAAATAATCCAAGATTCATGACCCAAATGAAAGAGGAAATAAAAAGGTTCCTCGAAGAAAACAACAACAGCGAGGCGATTCAGCTACAGTATGGGATACTTTAAAAGCAGTTTTCAGAGGGAGAATAATATCATTCTCTGCCCATGAAAAGAAACAAAAACTATTAAGACTGATAGATCTTAATCAAGAACTGAAAAAATCCTCAAACGGAACATAAAAAAGAACAAAATCCAGAAATATTTAATAAAATAAAAACAGGAGATAAATCTAATATAGGAAATCGAAAAAAAGATGATATTCACAAGACAAACTTATTATGAGTCTGGAACAAAATCACTTAAAATCCTGGCAAGAAAAGTGCAAAAGCAACGAACAGACAACACAATATACAAAATAAGGAATATGGACTCTAAAACTATACAGTTCAAACAACATGAAATACAAAGAACCTTTAGAAAATACTACAAGCGCCTGTATACACAACCCTAATTGGAAGATGATCAGCAAATGGAATAATTTGTTAAATCTCTCTATGTACCATCTATAACAAAACAACATATTAACAGCCCCTATTACTGAGATAGAGATATCCAAGGCCATTTCCAACCTAAAAGGAAACAAATCACCAGGCCCAGACGGCTTCTGTTCAGAGATGTACAAGACATTTAAAGCCAAGCTAGTGCCAACCCTCCTCTGAGCCTGTAAGACTTTAACTGATGCTAAAATACCTCCCTCTTGGAGTGAGGTGGTGATCTCCGTCATCCCAAAGAAGGAAATATAAATTAGAGTATAGTTCCTACAGGTCTATCTCGGTGCCGAATGTTGACTACAAACTTTATGCAACCATCCTCCCCAGAAGAAGACTGGACAAAGTTCTCCCTCAGATTATACACAACGATCGGGCTGGATTTATCTCACAAAGACAGACTCACCACAACTTTAGGCATCTTTACATAGATTACATCATATCCAAAACAATAACATTCAAGCCTGTTTAGTTATAGATGCAGAGAAGGCCTTTGATTCGGTAAGTTAGCCTTTCTTATATAAAGTCATGAAGAAATTTGGCCTGGATAGTAATTTTATTAAAGGTTGGTACATTATATAACAAACCATTGTTTAACAGGGCTGAATGGTTTGCACTATATAGAGCCCCTAGCCATAATGACAAGACAGACTCAGAATATTAGAGGCATCTCCATTAATGGAGAGGACCATAAGGTGGCGCTATATGCTGATGATGTGCTGGTTCATTTAAGCAATCCCCCTGAATTGCTCCCCAAAGTATTGACCGCCTTAGAAAACTGGTAATTATTCTGGATATAAATTGAACATACAAAAGACAAATTCTCACCATTAACTATAAACCCACAAAGCAACTTAGAGAGAAATTCAATTTTAATTGGGATTAAAGTCATTCAAATATCTTGTAATAAACTTGCCAAAAATAATTTCAATATTAGAGATAAATGATGGCCCCTCCTGGTGAAAATTAAAGACGATATACACAGGTGGAATTATATTTCTTTTCTTAGTCTTGGTCAAAGAATCGATTCTGTGAGAATCAATATTCTCCCATTTCAGGCACTCCCAGTAGAAATTCCCCAAAAAACAGTTTTCTGAACTAAATAAGATTATTTCACGGTTTATTTGGCCAGGTAAAAAACTTAGACTTAAGACTTTACAACTCCCTAAAGAGAAAGGAGGAATGTCATTACCTCATTTTAAAGATTACTTTTGTGCCGCTCAGATTAGACCCCTCTGTGTAACCGATCCAAGCTAGATGGAAAAATATAGAACTCAAACTGATCCCCCAATACAAGCAGTTCTAGCTCACAAGCATCTGGGAGGACTCATAGATAAGGTACAGAATCCATGGATCAAAACGTAATTAAAAATTTGGAACATGATAAAAGATGAATACAAATTAAATGACAGATTACAAATAATCCAATGGTGTGCTTATAATCCTGAGTTTAGGGTTAATGTAACAGATAAAGGATTTAAATCGTGGATTTTGAAAGGAATAACGACATACTTACATTCTTACAGAAAAAGGACAACTTAAAAGCTTTGATAGGTTGAAGGAAGACTAGAACCTGGTCTGCACTGCATATTTTACATTCTTCCAGGTGTGCGTCGCTTTGACCCCAAAATCTTTACTGATGCTTATCAAGGAAAATCTAACAAGGGTGTCATCTCTAAAACTTATAAAGGCCTGTTATCTGCAAAGTCCCACAATATAGACTCAGAAAAAGTGCTAATCCCAGTGGAAACGCACCAGCTCTCATTCATGGCGACAGTTTGGTTGGAAGGCTTTGATCCGTTTCTTTATCACCAAAATAAAACACACATTTTACTGGAGGTGAGGCTGTGTGTTGGAGGCAGTGTGGACACCAGGAAGCCCATCGTTGGAATATCTTTAGGGAATGCTCAGTGGTTTGACCCTTCTGGGAGGGGCTTCATAAGGTACTAAATGGTTTGTTTAAAACTAATCTACCTCTACAGTTTTCAACATTATTTTAGGAAATTCTGATTTAGTTTATGAAAGCTGATGAATATTTATTAGATATTCTGATAAGTGCTGGTAAAAAGCATTCACAAGACGTTGGCTGGTCCCAGACCCACCCACAATACAAGAGTGGATAAGCATCGGAAATGACATTTACCTGATGGAAAGGGTCACCTTCTCAGACTTAAAAAAGAAAAATTCACCAAGAGGTGGGCCAAGCGGGTTAAATACACCGGTCTTTAACAAACAGAAGTACTGGATGACCATGCAATGCCGTTATTTAATCTATGCTCTGTGGCGTCTAAGGATTAATATATCTCTCATACTTGATTTCAAAACCGCCTGGTATATGATTTATTCCTGCTTTTTGTCTTTCCCTGTTTGTTCAAAGTTGTTATGTACAAAAATTGTGAGTGGCGGTAGTAACATTGTGCGTTCCCTGAAAGTAACTACCTCTGTATTGTAATGCTCCCACAAGAAAATTGTTGAACTCTTCACATTCATGTTAACTCTTATCAAAGTTGAATATTTAGTTGTTTTTTTTGCTGCTTATTGAGTCATTAGTCTCTTGTATAATAATCTAATCTCAATGAGATCACCTCTATAATAAGAGTTAAGATAAAAATATAAAAACGCCATCAGATCAAATGTCTTAGCCAACCTTCATTACCCATACAATGATATCGTCCTGTACCTCTAGCTTTGATTACTTTACAACATAGTCAAAGAAAACCATTGCATATTTTAAGAAGTTTAATTGAGAAAAATGTAACAAATTCATTATATAGGTCAACATAAAACAGCTCTAAAGTGTTTACCTTCCAACATTATATTCAGGGGCTGTGTTATCTTATAAAAGACAAAACAAAATCTACTAAGCAAAATAAAAACAGTTTAAAGGCTGCAGATGGCAGCGGGTGATTTAAATCTATATATACAGCACACAACGATCCACTTCTTCACAGACTACACACTGAGGAGAGCTTATTGTCTCAGATTCCCACAGGGATAATTCATAGACACCACAGGCTGCTGTCATTTCAACATGCTTTACATTTTACAATATGAAAAAAAGACCTGTAGAGATCAAACTGTGGGACAGACTGACGGCTTTAGTCCATCAACTCAGACTATTTCTAAGATTAAAAAATAGAAAAAAAATCAGTCACATTTTTTCTAACACTACAGCTGGGTCCATGTCCTGCAGCTGTTTCAGCATGGGCTGGGTGAATCCTGCAAAGGCTGGATCTAGTTTGATCTTCACCTTGCTGAGGGACTTCACCTTCTGACGGTTGCTGAACCAGATGCTGCTCTTTTTGCCCTCCTCCCTCTCTGATGCCTTCTCTGACCTCTCCGGCTCTGATTTGTTAGTCTGCTCCAGGAATTTTAGGAAAGACATTTCAAATCCCATGGGTTTGAAGGAGGACAGGGGGGCGCACTGCTCCGCCTCCTCTGGGATCTTTGCCAGCGTTGGGGGGGTCTGCTTTTCTTCTCTGCAGGGAGCCACATCAGCCTTTGGCGTCTGGATGACTTTATTGGGTTTACCAACATTCTCTGCAAGTTTTTTCGGCCGTCCTCGTTTGCGTTTAAGTACCAAAGGTCCGTCGGAACTTTTCTTTTTCGCTAACTTTGAATTGAACCTAGAAATGGGCCTTTCTGCCGGGCTCCTCCTGCGTAGGACCGGCTTTGAATATTCATACCTCCCTTCCTCCGTCATGGACTCCGTTGCCTTCTCGGCGTCTGACTGCTCAGAGGTGTTTTCAGATTTGGAGTCGTCGCTCCTGACGGAACGACATTTATGCCTGGAGAACTTTTTGCAGAAAATAAAATGACTCCTGTGCTGTTCCAAGTACTTCTCCGACAGTCCGTGTACAATATAATGCTTAAGTATGCTCTTCTCAGATTTCATGACTGATGTGCAGCCTTTGATCATGCAAGGATACTGTAGTGGAAACTTCAAAGTGCACAGTGCGGCTGCATCCACCTTAGACTTCAGGGAAGGTTTTCCATATTTAAGCCAATGTTTGCTCTTCGACTTGTTCACTTTTTTCCTGTCATGAACTCTCAGGGGAAGCTTTTTATTGCTCTCAATGTTTTCTTTCCCATTGCTAGTTTTGGTAATTTGATATTGTGAAGACGTTGAGTTTTTCTTCATCTCCTCTTCCTCTTTAACCGGCTTGTTTTGCAGTTTGAGCTCGTAAAGCTCCTGATGTTTTTTCATCATGTGCCTGAGCATGTTAGACTTTGTGGCATATGAGCGATCGCAGCCTTCGATCTCACACTTGAATAGAACTTGCAGTTGTTCCGTTTTGACAAAGTTTAGGTCTTTGTGTTGTTCTTTTATGTGACTTTTATATTTTCTGTAAGTGGTAAAAGTTTCTGTGCAGCCCTGGTGACCACAAGTAAACCTGCCGACACCAGATAGCAGCGAATCCACCTTATCGTCTGTGAATTCGTGTAAGGTAAGATAATGTTGGATGAGGTTGGGAATTTCTTGAAAAACGCAGCAGCAATCTTTGGCCTGACATCTGAATTCGGTGGTCTGCGGCGACTCGGCCTCAGGCTCATCTTTATCGGGGTCTGTTGGATCCCCTGCTTCCTCGGTTTGGTCCTCCTCCTCCTCAGTGTCTTGCAGAGCTGATAAAGCCGACTGGTGCACAGCCTTGTAGTGGAGGATCAGATTGTGCTGGATGGTGAAGGCTGCCTCACAGCCTTGATGCACACAGCGATACGGCCTATATGGACTCATTGCATCGTCATATTTTTGTTTCTTCCCTTTAGATCTTCGGAAAACGTTTTTATTGGGTTTAGCCTCCGTTGGTATCCTGACAGGATTGCTTTCAGTTAGAGGTAGACCTTCAGATTTGACAGGAAAAAGCTGACTATCTACATCAGGAAGGAGTGTTTGCCTTTTGGAGCCATGTTCAGGAGATATCACCGCTTGTGCTGACTGCAAACTAGCGAAAATCTGAGCCATCGAAGGCAGGGTTGCTTCCAGATTGTGTATGGGAGCAGTTTTATGAATCACCGAGCAGTGATTGTCACCTTGAAATGTATGATTAGTGATACTTTTGTCACCTGAAGGAACCTGTGTTTGCTGTTGGACTGAACCTTGGAGAGGAGCCATAGGGGAGCCGCTGTCTGAAACTACACGGCTATCAGTGGGTATAGGAACCACTGGAACCGGACCTGCATTGGGACACTTCTTACGACTAGAGGTAGATGCTTCAGCTTTCGCCTGCCTTCGCCGTTCATCCAGCTCTTCAATTTCTTTATTGGATAATTTGTGACCTGTCCGATAATGAACGCGAAGGTTTGAGTTACGAGTGAACGATTTTGGACATTTCTGACACTTAAAAGGAGCGTACTGCCCCAACCTCCTTTTCACCGCATTCACCATTTCAAGGTTATAGTTGTGCACTTTGGAGAGATGCTTCCACAGTGACTCGCCGGAGAAGGAACTAAATGGGCAATTTAGTTCATCACAAGAAAACGGTTTAATGCTGCGAAAAGTGGATGGAAGTGAAGTTTTGGAAATGACCTTAGAGGATAATGGCGTTCTGTTTGCATTCTGATGATTTAAAGTAGTGGTTGACTGATCAGACATTTCTCTGACCAAGTCCAGCCTTTCTAAAGCACTCTGAATGTCTGTCATCCACTGCTGTTGGCTCGGTGTTAACTCTGAAGTTCCAGAATCCAAGTCATTGGCTGCAGTAACTGGGGGGCTCGGTAGCTCCATGTGCATTCTGGGCATCTCTCTAAAACCAATGAAGCTTTTGGTATTTAGGGGGCTTTCAATTTCACCAGAAGATTCTGGAACAGCCAGAGAGTTTCTTTCCAGAACCGGGCCTGGAGCTGCTAAATGACTTGTGGCATTGTGAGAGAAGTTCTGAAACCCAGAATTAATGGAGGGATTACAGACTGAGCCTAAAGGTTTTGGACTCCCATTTCCAGGAGGACACACGTTTCTGCGGTGAAAGTCACCCGCCAGAATCTGCTCACGCAGCCGCTTTTTGATCTCCTGATCAGCACTCTTTACTGGAGTCGAGGTTTTAATATCACCTGAAGTTCCCTGACCGAGGTGAAAATCAGGCTTGATGGAGTTTAAAGCTGGACCTGGAACCAAGACGCTTCTCTTAGACGGGAAACTTTCATGGAAAATTAACTCTGGAGTTCTTGTTATTTTGGAAGCATTGCCTAGTAGTCCTGAAGAAGTCGTCTCTGTGAGGATCTCTGACAGAAGCGGGTCACACAGTTCACTCCTAGGAAACCTTTTGACATTAGGCTCCAGAGAATGTGTTGGACCGTATGCATTGGCTCCCTGCTTCAGCTGAACCGTCTCTGTATGCTGGATAACTGAGGTACCGAGCAGGGGCTCACTGTCTGCATGAGAAGCATGAGAGTGAGGGGGAGGGGCAAACGGATCAAACATACTGGATTCTGGAATGAGCTGCTTGAGAATATCATTATTGGACTGATTATTATCAAATGTTTGCAGGTTATCTTTAGGATATTGAGGAGTAGGATAATGATTTATAGCTGAAGAGCAACCAGTCAAAGTATTGTCATGCTTCTGATAGCCGGCAGCACCATTATAAAATGGTTGTAATTCAGAAGTGGCGACAGTTTGATCTGAATTTAGAAGATCGAGAAACGATTGTGGTAAATCTGTGTTGATTTCAGACTCTTGGTACGGTTTGCAAACTGCTCGCTTGGATAAATGACCGCCGAGAGATCTGGGATTATCAAATTGTCTGAAACATCTTCGACAAACAAATTTCCCATCCTTGATTATCGCGGGCCACTTGGTTCTGGTGTGCTTTCTGGGTTGCGTTAGAGTCTCAGAAACATTTCCAGAGATGGCGAGCTGGAGGCTTCCACTATTCAGCTTGTCCTCTGCAGGGGAAAGCTCCGGCAGCTCTTGATTCGCTCTTGGCTGTGTTTGGTCTTGATTATTGGGACATGAGACTAAACTGCTCTGCACCTGTGAAGTACAGGATGGAGAGGCTGTCATTTGTTGTGACACCTCCATCGATCTTTGAGCACATCTACTGTTATCAAGCTGAGACTGCAGGGGATTTGGTTGGCTCATTTTTGATTCCATTGCAGAGCACAAAGAACTACAAGCTGGGAAAGCGGCAGCAGTAGTATCCATGTCTGGCATCACTTGCTGGGCGCAGGAGAATAGTTGGGAAGAATTACAGTTGGCAGCAAACTCGCCGTCAGGGTTTTGACCCCTTGGGACCTGAGAGTGTGCCGTTACTGAGCTTTGACCGCTCTCCAACTGAGACAGCACAATAGAGTTTAAAACATTGGCCATTAGCAGCGAACTGGTGGAGCTGTGAGGGAAAGGAGGGACGTTATGTGGAGCAGCGTACTGAGAGCTGGAACTCATGTTCAGGCAAGGATTGGGCTGAATAATATTTTTTCTCTGAACTCGACGACTGGCCTGTTTCTTCAGCAGTGCGGAGCCAGAACTCAAAGCCCCCAGCAAGGTGTTCTGTGCTGGGATGTAGCTCGTTCGGATTTCAGATCGGGCAACTTTCCATTGCTCGTAGAAATCTGGGTGAATTGCTTTCATGTGCTTGGAAACACTTCGATAAGAACTGTAGTTCTTTGTACACGGTCCAAAAGCACAGTGGAACCTCTCTCTGGGTTCTGGGAGGGGACCTGGGGTATTTGAGGAAGTGGCTAAATGTTCTCGGTTGCTCTCAGTCGGTTGCTGGAGGTTGACTTTCGGTGGAAGTGGTTGTGACATAGGTGGATCTGGGAAAATGTGGGGCAATGATTCTGCTAAATTATTCCTAGAAGACACTGGCTTTTGCATGCTTTGTGACATAAAGGTATGGCCTGATTGGCTACTCAGTATATCTGAAATGACTTTGCTGGTAGTCGATTTAGGCAGACATGGTAAAAGTTGCCCTACACCACTTTCAAACTGCTGGGCTGGATAATTATGAGGCAGACTGTTACAATCAAGTGGCTGGTCACAAACCATGTATCTACTTTTGCTGGAATCATGTGAATGTGAATGCACCGATCGAATGGGAGAATTATTAGAACTGTACGAGTTGCTGGGAGGAGCCACCGATTCTGCAGCCTCTGGGTTCATTTGGCCTCCAACCTTGGCATTCACATGTTCTGCTGAAGTTTCTAACAAACTCTGGATGCTCCTAAGTTTCTCAGGGTTTGTAAAACCAGAAGCCTCAGAGTTGATTTTTTTTAGGGAATCTTCTTGTTTCACAGGAGACGGAGAGGAAAGCGTTTGCTCATGGAGTGAAGGACCCGGCTGTGTGCTGTCGGCGGACTGTGGACAAGCTACAGCTTCCTGATCCTGGATAGCATGGTTTTCTAGATGCAAATCTAGCTGTTGCTGAGTATGAAATATCTTTCCACAGTCGGCGGCTTTACAAGTAAAAGTTTTGTAATGATGTGCCTCATGGTCATAGAGTTTAAAAGGGGCGTTGAAAATTTTCCCACAATTTGGAAACATGCATCTAGCCTTAAAAACGCTGTGTAATTTCTTATGTGTGAGAAGTTTAGTGTTGGTCAGGAAACTTGCCTTGCAGTTCAACTGTATACATATATAAGGTTTAGCACCACAGTGGACCTGTAGATGATCATTCAGATGGTTGACGCTAATGAAGTGTCGTCGACAGTAGTGGCAAACCACCTTGTTGTTCTGGAGTTCCAGAAACGTTTTTGCTTCTTCATTGTCGCCGTGACCTTTAACGTGTGCTATTAGGTTTTTGAAAAACTTAAAGCTCTTCTTGCATTTTCCGACGGGACACATGTTGTCTTCGTTAACTTCTGCATTCTGCTCCCCCTGCGGCTGAGCCCTTTGAACTGCAGCCATATTCTGTTGAAGGGAACGGTTGAGTTTCTGCAGCTCATTGTGTGCTTTGGTTTTTAATACTGCGATGGGAGGGGCAGGGATTTTTGAACGAACTACTGCTTTGTTGGGGTTCATCGCACTCAGCCTTTCCTTGCAAGAAAGTTTAACATGTGATGTTACATGAGGAAGCAATGTCTCTTTTGATGGGAATGTTTGAGCACATATGGGGCAAGTATATACTCCACTACTGATATGAGTCTGAGCGTGTCTCACAATTCGGTGACCCAGGAACTCTTTGTCGCAGAGCACACAGTACTGCATGTAGGCCTGCCAGTTTCTGAAGCGAGTCGATACAAAGCCCTTCTCCCTCAGTTTCTTCATCTCTCGGTTTTTCTGTTTTCTGTCTGTGCCCTCCTGAAGATCGAATGTGCCGCTGACTGTGTCGTCTGGGATATTGTTTAACTCCTTTAGGCTTGCATACTCTTCCTCTTCATTCTCAGAGTTATTTAGAGATTCGATGGATGAAATGATGGAAGCCTCCTTACCCATCAGTGACAGACAGTGACGTTTCAGAGTTTTCCAGTCCCAGAACTCTGGGTCAAAAGGCCACTGGGTCTTTAAAACAAGGAGCAGCTCACAACGTAGAGAGTTAGGAATAGGCATACTTTCCTCCTCTAGTTTTTGATCTGGTTCATTATAAAGCGTCTCCACGACGTAGTATGAATCCGCCGTGGGCTCCAGGAGGAACTCTGTTAGCTGACACGCTCTCTTGACTTCCAGATCAGTGGGAAGCAAACAGAAAATGGTTTTACACACTGCAGCCTTTCCTTTGTCATCCTCTGATGCAATCCGTAGAGCCCTTATGCACAGCTCGATGCACACTGGGAGGCCTGCGTTGCTGATCTAGAAAGGAAGAAAAAGCTCCTTCACCAACATTGATCAACATCAGGCTGTTCCATGATTAACAAAGCAGAATAAATAAAATATTTTGGCCCTAATTTTTAGGGCCAACCACTGACCTCTGACTGTATGACCTTGATGAGGAACAGGATGTGGTACATGGATTTGCATAAGACTGACATTTGACGGCATTTATCAAGAAAGGCCTGGTCCGATGGATCCAGGCGCTTCAGCAGCTTGCTCCAAAACAGGGTGAGCTCCCTGTTTGAAGAAAGGAAACAGCATAAATAAAGAAAGATAAACACTAACTCCTGCTAAGCATCTTCAGATCAAGGCCCATAATAAGGAGGTTGGTTCTTACCAAGAGCAGTACGTGTCTCCTTTGAGGAGCTGATGGTTTAGAAAGGCTGAACATAAAGTGAAGGCTGCAGCATCTTCTCCATCTGATTCCAGATTGCAAATCATCTCTAAAGCTTCCTGGCAATCCTCCTTTGAAAGCTGAGGAAAGGATCAGATTTATAATCCAAGCTTAACTATACATTCATTCACAATTTAATAGAATATATATATATATATATATATATACACACACACACACACACAGAAATATATATACCATATTTTCACGACTATAAGGCGCATATAAACGTCTTTTTTTCCCCTCAAAATATGCGGCGTGCCCTTTGGTGCGTTATGTGTGTTGTTACTGCGGACTTTTCAGACCACCTCATTGAGGAGATGATGAAAGAGTGGCTGAGGGAGGTGAATGTAAGGAGACCAGGTGGTTTTTTTCCCCACTCATCACCATCACTGTCAATCTGTGACTCCATGCGTGCCCATCTCACAGCCGATGTGAAAAACAAATGAACGCTGTGCTTGCTTTTATTCCTGGAGGTCTGACAAAGGAACTTCCACCGCTCGACATCGGTGTGAAGCGGCCGTTCAAAGTAAGGCTGCGAGCGGCGTGGGAGCGATGGATGACAGACGGAGACCACAGTTTCACGAAAAGTGGAAGGCAGCGCCGGGCAAATTACGCCACCGTTTGCGGATGGATTGTAGATGCTTGGACTAACGTGTCTGCTGGCTCTGTTGTTCAAGCTTTCGCAAAAGCCGGCATTATTTCTGAGGAGCCGCACGGCACGGAAAGTGACTCTGACAGCGAAGAAGGGGAAATTGGCATGTCTGATTTAGCGCAGCTGTTTAATTCAGAAACAGAGGATGATGACTTTGATGGGTTTGATTAATACTTTTTAATAAATACATGAATAAAGCACAATCATACTCAGTTTTGCTCCCGCTCTATTTTTCTACCTGAAAACTTAATTCAACAGCAGCCTCTGGGCCGGTCGCCTCCTCGCGGTTCACCGCGGCGGCTGGTAGGTGTTTTTCATCTAAATAATTAAATCTAAACTGCAGGCAGCAGGATAATAAAAGCGAACATATTCTGTCTGCAGGTTTCAGGATTTTAAGTTCATTTATGCGTCAATAAACTGTTTCAGAGGAGTGATCACAGTGCTCTGTGTCATCAGCGATGTGTCTGTCTCACGGCCAGCTCCCAGGTTTGATTAATACTTTGTAATAAATACATGAATAAAGCACAGTCATACTCAGTTTTGCCCCTGCTGTATTTTTAAATACGCAGTAGAGGTATTTAAAGGTAGTAGAGGACATGTACCTGTATATAAAAAACGCGCCCTATAGTCCGGTGCGCCTTATGTGTGTGTTAAATACAGAAATGGGACACATAACTGAGACTGCGCCTTTTAGTACGGTGCACCTTATGGTCGTTAAAATACGGTATATATTCAATTCAGTTAATGTATATAGCGCCAATTCACAACACATGTCATCTCAAGGCACTTTATATTATTACATTTATATTATATAATTATTATTTAGAGAATCCATTAGTCTGTTGATTATCTTTTCGGTTAATTGATTAATAATCAGATTGCTAAAAGTACCTAACAGAAATAGTTTTTATTACATTAAACCAGGTTAAACTAAAACTTTCCTCTTTAGGAGTTCTGGTTAGAGCAGATTGATTAGTTATTTCAGCCCTAATACAGACATACGAGGGACTTTGAATAAGTAAGGCCCCTGACCCAATTATTTATATCTCCATAGATTAAGTTGTGGTTTATCATGTATTGTTAAATCGCTTTACTGTCTAAAAATGGGGAAATTTAATCTCTGCATTTAACCCATCCCCTTTGGGAGCAGTGGGCTGCCATAGTGCAGCGCCCAGGGAGCAGTGTGGGGTTAAGGATTTTGCTCAGGGACTCAGAGTGGAGGCTGTGGGAATCTTGCAGCCCTAAGATTTACCATCCACCCACCAGATTTCCAGGAGTTTAAAGTGATTCAAGCCTGAAATGGAGCCTGTTAAGTGTGGAGCAGTGATACTGTTTTTGTATTTGAAGGACTCACACCATGGGAGACTTGATGATGCCTCATCATATGACCTTGTAAAACATTTTAAAAGGTCATATGATGGGACATCATCATAGAAGTACTCTCATTATGTTTTTTAATATATGAACATTCCCTCTGTTCTGGTCTGTGATGCGGATCAGACTTGCTAGGAGAGGCTTTGCTTTATAGCTGCGCTGGTGGGTTTTTATTTTTATAGCTTTTCATTATCTTTCAAAGTCAAATGTAGGAATTGTTTTGTGTATAGCACAGAGACAGAAGTGAAAAGAATCTGCTCATCCTGCCTAGTCAGAACCTCTCTATACGTCTGCCATGGGGAAAGAAATCGGATCTGAGGTTAACAAGTCGTACCATCCGCTGTGTTCGGGTCTTCAAAGTTTGTGCTTTTAGTCTATTGTGACGGTCATTTCTTAAATGACTATTGAAGGGCTCTCTTTTATGCTTTATGGAAGAACTTGATAAAATGAACAAGTACACAACATGTAATATGAGGTCAATTATTCTCATCACTTGGTAAAACCTTACCTCCTCCATGAGTTGATCTTTTTCTAAAATGCCACAGAGGCAGACGAGATGCATCTGCTTGAAATGTCCCTTTGCTTGGAAGGCTGAGCGTTCAGCACAGACCTTCGCCAGATGTGCGGCCTTTTCTAACTGCTTTTCCTTTATCAGCTGCTTTACTCGCATCTGCAGCAAGACAGGGCCTTCAAACTGCAGGAACTCTTCAACTGAAAAAGAAATCAAAGGAGTTTTCATTTTACTTTGCATGCAAGATTACAAAGTCTTTGGAAAGTCAAATCTCTGGCCTTTGATTAAATGTGCTACAGCCAGAATCCAAACCGAGCTACATGTAAGCTGGAGTCACTGAAGCCGACTGGAATAAAGTCAGTTTAACGGTTATTATAGGACTAATGGCGATTTTTTTTCCACTGGTAAATGATTTCATAGGTGCAGAATTGGCCTTGCAGCTAATTTCTAAAAATAATTATTTTCTGGTTGAAATGTATATAAAAATGTATTCTTGTTTTTGTTGTGCAACTGAACAGTATTTTGTTTCTAATATTTTATTTTTCGACAAACATTATACATAAACATGTTTTTATATAAATGTGTCAAAGAGAAGACAGGGAGAAGACAGATTTGAGAAAAAGGAAATGAGATGGGTTAGAAGTAGCTGTCCACAGCAGATGGTGAAATCCAGTCCATGCTACGGTGAAATGTTCTTTACTGGTCTCTCTCTATGGGATTAAAAAAACTCATCTAGCAGAGAGAGGATGGAAGCAAAGTCTTTAAAAATGCCAATGAATGAAAACCTTTCTTCCACAGATACAGTTTATTAAAAAGTTCCTGTAGCTTCTTTCTCCCAGTCAAACATCTGGCCCATCCTAGACTAACCAGAGCTGTCATTTCAGAAACAAAACATTCAACCAAACTAAAGCAATTCAGCAGTTTGTGTCTTACCATTTTCAATATTTATATTTAAAAAAGAAATTAAAAGTCTAAACATAACAGAAAAAAACCCCCAAAGGTTTGTTTTATATTTTTTTGGTAAGGGTGCTGCCTTGTTGCAGTACTCTAAACGGTGATGTTAAGTCAGTGCTTCAGCTAGCAATTGAATATATTGCATATATCGGCAATAAATCACAACCATAAAACATTTCAAAGGTTTGGTTTGATGGAAGATGAAGCTGAAAGGACCCTGAAGCGTCTACACCAGTGGTTGTGTGCGTGTAGAAGTTTTTTCTAGCTTTTTATTGTCATTACACTGCCACAAGTACAGAGCAACGGAATTCCCTTTCTGCTTTTAACCCCTCCCTTTGGGGAGCGGTTGGCTGCCATTGTGCGGCGCCCGGGGAGCAGTGTGGGGTTTATGGACCCAGAGTGGTAGTCTGTGGGAGTGGGACTTGAAACAAGAACCTCAGGATTCCAAGCTCTAACCACTAGGCCGCGTCTCCCCTCTGAAGAAGTCAACTTTTTGGACAGTTTGAAAAAAAATGTTATTAACCAACTAACTCAACAACATGGGAAATGATTTACTGCATCCAGATTCACTGTAAAACACACCTAAACACAAGATTCTTCTGCTCATTGCAATCACATGCTACAGTGACTCCTTCAAATAAAATTAAAATATTCTATAAAATATGTAGACTTGATGTTTTGTTGATCTTATTATTACTAAAAGATTAAATATTACAGAATACTGCATTTCTACCCCCATTGTCTTGCAGCCCTAAGATTTACCATGTTCTGGTGCAACGTTGTCATTAGCCAGAATACTTTGCAGAACTTTGTTGCTCCAAATGCCTCCATACTGGCTCAGGACACACAGCAGCGACAGCTCGGAGGTTCCATTCTTCTGGAGTTTCTGTTGTGCAATCTAAAGACAACGGAAAACATATTTTAACATGCACACACAAAACAGTCTAAACCTGCAGACAGTAACCCCATCATGTTTCTGCTTCATGAAGTAAAAAAAACAAAACACACAACATTTAGATAATGTCATGTAAAAATAAAACCAACAAATGTTTTTTTTTTTTTTTTTT